GAGGCGGGCCCATCCCCGGCCGCTCCGCGCCCCCTAGCGGCCGCCTGAGGAGCGGCCGCCATCTTCCTTCCCGCCGCCTCTCGCTCCCGCCCCGCCCCGCCCCGCCCACCGGGCGCCCTCCCGCTCGCCATTGGCCAGTTCAAGCCCCGCGGCAGGACCAGTCAGGGAGGCGCTTTGTGGAGCGGGTTTCAAACGGCCGTCGTCAGCTGCCTTGATACTGCGGGCGGTCATGGCGGCGCGTCCTTGTCCTCAGCTCCCGGCCAGCCGCAGGTCCGAGCCGGCGTACCGAGGTAAGGCCGCGGGGAGGGGGGCTGGCCCGGGCTCTGCTCGCTGCCGGGGCTGCCTGTCGTTAGCGCTCCGCCTAGCTCCGGGTAAGGCCGCGGCCGGTCAAGGTAAGGAGAGGGGAGTGGGAGGTGAGGGCAGGCGCCTCAGGCGGGGTCAGGGACCGGGCAGGTCTTGGCAGCCGCGCCCGCTGTCGCGGCCTCGGAGCTTGCGACCGGGTCTGTGAGACTCCATCCTCCTCCCCCCGCAGGGCCGGGGCCGGTGCTGTCCCCACCAGCCAGGGCTCCTGGGGCGAAAGCCTTCCTTCATGACGGAAGGCACGCCTTAGCTTAAGGGCAGCCTATTGAAACAACCAAATGCCCCGGCCTAGACCGGCACTCTTCTCTTTGTTATTTTCTGAGCGGTCTGTCTTCTGCGAGTTGTACGAACCGAATGGTTTTGATGGGGCTTTGCTGTTCGGAGTCGGCGAGAGCCGAGTTTCTGAAGCAGAAGGTGCCCGGGGGGGCTCAGGGTGCACGCCGAGCTTGCTGCTGCGCAGCATCTCTTGGTAGGTCCGCCGCTGGTGTACTAGGTGGTGTACGCCTTGAGAAGCCGGTGGTGTACGCCACCTCTCGGGCTTCGTTCAGCATGGGCTTGGACAGGTGTGCTAAAAAACCACTATATCCTAAACGAAACAGAGCGTTGCAGCAAGCCCAAGTCTCCATCCACTCTGCTGGCTGTGTGTTTCAGGCTTTGGTGTGTCAGTGTGTGAGAAAAAACTTGCCTTTTTCAGCTCTCCCATACTAGGAGGAGGCCCTCAGGGTAATTATCCCATTCTGTGGGAGGACAACTTTTTACCACGGAGAGTGCACAATCAAGTGCTTAATTCTTTTCAGGATTAACATTCAGGTCCTCAAAGACAATAATGTTTTAGCAATCTCTACAGTCTGAACTTCAGTAATACAGAAATATCAGCAATAAGGGAATATGTTGACGGACCTTGCAGAGATTTCCGAAGTATGAATCAAGAACAATGGGCAAGGCAAAATATGAAGGACAGAGAATATGTGCAAAGAGATTCAAAAGGTGACTCATGCCTGCCTAGGAGGGGCAGAAGTTGGGGTTTATATGCAAGTTCTTTGACGACTTCCACTGCTGAATGAGCCTGTCTGTGATGGAGAATGGTGCAATGTCATGAGTTCCCAAATGCCACAAAGGAATTGTTGTTCTGAGTCAAAGATAATGCTTTAACTTCTTGCTCTCACGTCCCACTGCATGTGAAACAGTTGTAAGACTTGGAGTCTTAACTATCTAGACTGACTAGCTTGTCTTGGGTGGCAGGACCATCTTACCCCAGCTGCTTCCAGCAAGCCAAGGTTACTAGCTCCCTACAGGAATAAGGAAAGGTCTCTGGAAAAGATCAACAGTGTAGTCCTATGAAGAACATAAGTCTCTGCTGTGCAGTCAACCAGTGAAAACATGGGAAATAGTACCCTGTTCTGAGTGACTTTCTATATTAAGACAGTGACAGCTGGCTTAAGACCTTTTCAGGATTGTTTTGTGCTGTTATTAATATTCCCATTGGTCCAACAGTTGCGCAGATGCCCAGATGACAAGGGAAATGATTTTGCATGTGGTCAGTTGGGTTCACATGCATGGTGTTTTTCATGTGTGGTATCCTTACCTTACTACTGTCACAAGTGAAAAGTGTGCTTGTTGAACCAACAGTAAGTATGTGAAATACTGGACAGGCATCCAGAAGATAACAGAGCGAGCCTGACTCTGTCCCATCACAAAATTATGTTTTTTAGCTTAATGCAGTGAAACAGCCATCTTGCATAGCTGTGAAATGACATTCAACTGTCCCTTGAAAAGAGCCTTTCTCAAGAAATGAGACAATGTGTAAGACATCATAAAATGTGAATATTAAACTAAAGACTTTCTTAATCCACAGAGTATGTTGCATAATGTCTTGCTTTTCTAATTGCATTTCCTTTTTTTCAAAGAGACAAAGTTTGGCATCACTATTTTAGCTGAAAACATAATATGTCTTTTTCTTTTTTAAATCCACCAGAACAAAGACGACAAAAAGTTGAAGAATATCTATCAAGAAAAAAGACCTTTTCTACCGTTCCCATTCAAGAAAACCAGGCATCGGTCAGGTAGTATCTCTGCTATGGCTTATATTCCTTTAGAAAGGTCTGTGGTTGGTGGGAAAAACACAAATAGCAGTTCTTGCAGAGAACCTCAACCAAAAGGTGAGACTATGCAATATTCCAGTGACCACATGGATTTCCTAAAGTCCTTTTATTGTCAGCAAATACTAAAAGTTAGATGCAATTCATGAAGTATATTATCTGCTTCTCTAGACTGAGACTGGACAGAATACCTTCATGGCAGAGCTCTTATTTCAGATGTCACTTTGCTGTTTGCTTCTATAACTTTCCTTCTGCAAATAACTCCTCCCCCGCCCCTCTTTCTACTCAGGCTATACTGCATATGTTCACAATGCACTTGATCTAGCTTCATTGTGTTTTTATAGCTACTAATTCACTATTTTCTGCTAAAAGCAAATACACTGTAATAAAACCCAGCCTGTGTGATGGCCAGCAGGTTGATATAATGTTCTACAAACAGAATGTGGGCACCCATCACCAATTAGTAGTGCTTCTTTTTATTGATTTGTATTTAAATTTTCCTGCTGTTTCTAAAGTCTGGACACTTAGTATAAGACCTTCTAATAAGCAACAGAAGTTTCTTTAGAGAAGACAGTGGTGTGAAGGAGTACAGACGGTTCTAGGTCTAACATTAGTTCATGGTGTAGCAATGTCTTTGCAAATAGTAAATTTCAGTCTGAAATTTGTTCCCCTCTAAATGTGAACCTTTGCTTCCCATTTTGTATACTTGAGGTGGCATGGTCCCATGTTCAATAGCAAGAAATACTTGGTAGTACAAATCTAACTGAACAATGACCTTTGACTATAAAATACACTTAAATGACAAGGATAAATATAATCTGTCAAAGACTTGCTCATGCAGCAGGAAAAGGCAAGTGCTTTCATGTTGTAGACAGCTATCTTGTGTTAGAAAATTAATGCCAATTCATTGTAGCAATACTCTTGATTTAGAATTTGATCTACTTTACTTTTCCTTGTTTTCAGTTTCTTCTCTGGCTATTAAATTCCAGGGCTTCTCATAGTTTTAAGCAATGAATTAACTGAAGACTATAACATATGTGGGTATGACTAATGCTTTTATTTTGCAGATATTTCCCTTTTGTGAAGTTATCACTGTTCCACACTGTTGACTACCTGAAAAGGAGGTTGTAGGGAGTTGGGTGTTGGTCTCTTCTCCCAAGTAACAAGTGATAGGACAAGAGGAAATGCCTCAAATTGTGCCAGGGGAGGTTTAGGTTGGAAATTAGGAAAAATTTCTTCACCAGAAGTGTTGTTAAGCACTGGAACAGGCTGCCCAGGGAAGTAGTTGAGTCACCATCCCTGGAGGTATTTAAAAGATGTGTAGATGTGGTGCTTAGGGACATGGTTTAGAGGTGGACTTGGCAGCGCTAGGTTTATGGTTGGGCTCAATCTTAAAGGTCTTTTCCAACCTAAATGATTCTATGATTCTCTAACTTCTGATCAGTTCCCTTAATATGTATTCGCCATCATAGGTGACACGGAGGTGATAGCATGATGCAGACTGCTTTTTGTGGCATTTCAAAGTCACTAATTATCTTTATTTTCACTAATTCACCTTCATTTTCAATTCAGCTGGCTTCCAGAAATCTGATGCAAAGATAACAGTTGCTAACTGGAATGTTAATTTTCAATCACATGCAATAGTGCCACATGTTTCATATAATGTATCATGAGGCATTTGAGGAAGAATTTGGATTTTTAACTTTAAACTGAGATGTTTTTCTTCTGAGCTGTCAATACATTTTCATAGTTGCTAGGAGACAATACTGGTCTTGGTGGTTTTGTTCCTCACGGGGTAGTCTGATGCCAGCTCTGGTACCTGACTGCAGGTTTTGGAACCTGTCAGTGTGGTAGGAACTATGTATCCTTGTTCAGACTGGCCTCAAATGGCCTGGCCTCTGATGATTGCAGTAGCTGAACTTCAACTCCTTGTGCTGCTTCCCCTTCCCCCTCAAATGCAGCATTTAGAAACTTGACCTTCTGTAGCAGATGCATCAGGCCAGACAGGTTTGTGCTCATCCTTAAACAGGAGAATGGCCCCTGCAGTAAATAGGGTCCGTTTGCTTTTCTTCCCCTCTGTTAGCCAGCTCTTTATGGTATAAGAAGGGATGGTTTGCAGCCTGGGCCCTGATCAGTGGTTGCTTAGCCATTTATTTTTTCTGGAGTAAGAGTACAAGCTGAACAGAAATGCTTCAGCATGAATTCAGCCTGCGGACTGCCACCTGGACCATGTGAACTTACTGTAAAAATACATTCCTTTGTTATGTTACAGGATGATTTAAGATATCTTCTTATTTTTTTTAAGCAGTAGTAGAACTAGAAGAGCAACTAGCAATAAACTGCAAGACAAAATACAGCTCTCAATATCTCCAATGCCAGAAATGGTAAGTTTTTGACTGATATTCAAATACTGGTGGCACTCTGTTTCTGTGGCTACAACATTACACTTAAACTGTGTTTAAGTTATAGAACTCCCAGAGCATGAGAAGCTTGCAGGTGCAGAGGTGCAGTTTCTTAAGACTTTATTCAGTGACTGCTTATTATATGTTTTTTGGAGAGCTCTCGCATTACTGTATGTAACGGATCATACTGATATTCAGCTTGTACCTGAATGGAGACAGGGTTAAAGAGGATACCATTGTTGCTGAAAGAATTATTAAATTTTAACAACTTTCTTGAGACTCTCAGAACTTTTTGGATATATTTTCAGTCCTTGGGGAAGTTATTTAAAACCTGAGCAAGGTCTTCTGTCAGAGTAGAGGATTCTTCTATTGTACTCTGTTACTTGGGAAAAAATGAAACAACTAACAAACTGTTGAATTTCTGTGGTGGTTTTTTTTTTTTAACCTAATTGGAGTTCAAGCAAATGTTTTCCCTATATGATTTTGTGTCACTTTTCCAGAATTAAGACACACATGGTTGTGCCGCTTAGAAACGGCAAAATAGAGATTATTCTCCGGACCTGTTCTCAGGGACAGATGAGGGAAAAAAAACTGGGCACAAACCCCATGCTCATTAGATGGTTTTGAGTTTGGGTTCTGAAAGATGTGAGAGACCTGGGGTTATTTGAGGAGGAAAGCAAAACCCTTAAAACTTCAAAACTGAGTGTTGAGGGGGGAAATTCAAAAAGTGAGAACAAAGTTGCTTTAAAATATCACCCTTCAGGAAATTTCTAGTCTATCTTAATGTCTTATGTGATTTTTAAAGTTGAGTTAAACTACATAGCTTCCTGAAACAACAGCCCTTGTACTCAAACTCTAGTTATTGGCTCGGTCAAATCTAACTTCTAAGCCTGAATGACAGACCTAGAAGTGAGATGTGGTGTAGTTTTCTTAAAGTTCAAGGGCATCTTCCTTAAAGGAGAAGAGTATCAGCGTCTGCAGACTTCCATGTGTCATTCACATTTTTTTTCCTGCCTTTGGATCTTTCAGTCTTCTATAAGCTGCTGCTTGGATGGTGCTAAATTAGGCACTGTAGAGCATCTTCTTTGGAGGAAAAGACTAGGTGCTGCTTCTCGTGGCATCTGGGCTAGAGTTATGCTGAGAACACAGGGTTGAGAGTTTCAGAGAGTAGTAACGCCATAAAAAACTCAAGTGTCTATTCTTAACTACAGTATCCTACAGCTCATTAGTAAGAAAAATTCTGTCTCTTCTGGTAACATATCCTAATGCCCTAAGTAAAGGCTTTACTCACTACCTTGTGTTAGGCGCTCCACACAAAGCAGAGGAATGGTGCCGCCATTAAGTGATGGGGTATGCAAACTGCAATACTGTTTTTGACTATATACAGCCTAAAGCAAGTTTCTACTTTATGACTCTCCTTAGAAGGTGATTTTGGCAGTTAAAAGCCAGCAGTTGCTGTGAGAGTTTTGTTTCTGTAAGAAGACAGTAGCCCTCAGGCCTTCTTACTTCCAAGGCAGAATTTAAACAACCCTTATTTGATTTTTTTGATGTGAATTCTGCAATAATAGTTGACAAATACTCTCTCTACTCAGTATATGTACACTACTTCTGTAGATACTTTTAAAATGGCATTTACTGTTAATCACTTTAGTCCTGCAAATGAGTGAAAAACTCTTTGGAAACAAGTAACATGCAGCATGAATGTACTTCTAACATATCTCCATGGATATGCTTTTGATTTCAGGAGAATAAAGAGAATGCTAATAAACTGTTATGGGACCAATCAAATGGAACCTCAGAGAAAAATGTTATTTTAAACTCTTCCACAATCACACTAACAAATTCCATATCAGGGACAAATTATAATCCTGAAGATCATGCTTCCAAGGATGAAGTTACTGAAATAAAATCTCAGCATGTGTCACTCAGCAAGTCCTTCTTGCAAATAAAAAGCATAAAAGAGAAGCAACTGATGGCAGAAAAACAAAAGTCAACTATCGGCCTACCAAAGAAACCAGTGCTTGGTACATATCGTGGCAGAGTTATTCAATCCAAGATAAACTCCTTCCGAAAAGCACTAAAAAGTGAGGGTGAGAAGAGTTCTTTGCCAGACAAGAAGCTTCGCCCTTCTGCCACCAAACCAGCAGCAAGTTCTTTGTCCACCAGCAGCTGTAGTGTAGTTCTGAAGACCACCAAAGTCACAAACTACCCTAATTCTGTAAACCCAAATGGTGCCCTCCAATTCCAGAGCAAATCATCTGACAAAGCTGCTATTAACTCACAGTCCAGTCTGAAGAAACAGCAACCAACATCTGCTGTAGCACCAAAGAAAGTAACAGTCCAAAAAATGACTGGTAGAAGGGGACCACAGCCACCAAAAGCTGATTCTAACAGTTCTGACTGCAGAGTGCTAGGAGTGAAGAAAAGTGCAGATTTTTGTGACGATGCAAGACCTGAAGTTCCAGCAAAACAAATTTCTGTTGTTCCTGATACAAAGTTGGGATGGAATTCTAAAACTAATGGCAACAGAAAATCTGTTCTGCCAAAAGAGTCAGCAGAAGTGAGAAGGTAACTGAATTACTGTTGTAGCTTGATCTTGGGAGGTATTTAGACCTTCTTTCCAAGAATATCTATTTTCAACTATTTCTTGGTGTAGATTTGCTAAAAAATAAGAGAACTGAGTGTTTGAACTTGATGCTCAAGGGCAGTCCACTGAAACTGTAGACTTAATACTGAGAAATCAGGATTCAGACTAATTGCAGCAGCTCTTCAGGCTTACAGCTTGTCCTGTGTGGTTATAAATAGAAAAGGCATATTGCTCAAGCTGTCTGGTTTTTAGGCTAGGTGTTGAGACAGCCCTAGGCATGACAGATAATCCTGTAAGTGAATTGCATATGTATACCACTTTTTTTAAAGTGGCGGGCTTTTTAAAAAAAACCAAAAAGATGACTGATGCAGGATGTATATAGAAGTGAGTGTGTTTATGGACTGAAGGAGTGCACTTGTCAGTGATGTGTTTTTTCAGCTTGGTGAATGCAGGTTAGGTGACGGGGTGAAGATTCATAATCTAAAAGTTATTTAGTATTCTTGGTAGTGCTCCTTGTAGAAAGTCACATTTACTAATAATTGGTGGTCTAGGGGGATGGGGTTGAAAAGAAATATATATGAAGACTGAATTACACTTATAAATCAGTTTCAGATTTCAGAAGTTGTGTGTAAGGTTTTTCTGGGCTGCTCTCCATGCTTTGTGTCTTTAGAGATAGTTTCTAGTTTTCTGGTTTGAAGTGGGATTAGGGAAGGGAGGTGGCACAAATGAATAAATCAGAAGTACTTTTTACCCTCTCTTGAAAAAAAGGGTCTGTAGCCTAAGTCTCTCCTTACTGCTGGAAAGGGAGAGATTGAAGTGTTCTGACCTGATAGCTACCTAAAGCAGGTAGTGATATGTATGGTTCTGAAATTTCCATGCAGGTCTAAATGGCAGCTGTATTCTTTTTAGGATTAAAGGGGGAGGACTCAAGGACTATCTGGAAAGTACATCTTTGTATGACTTACCCTAGTTAGTGTCAGTCAATGTAAAAAATTATAAAACATCTGTCACTTCAGCTAATAATACTCTTAAATGTAGGGCTCGCCTGGATGAATGGAGGGCATCTAGAGGAAGAGTGATGAGGAGACCTCCTATATCTGTGCTTCTGAGACCCCAGTCTAAAAGTGAAGATCAACAACTCTCTTCTGGTGATTCTTTAGAGCATGTATTACATAGTGAAAAAGTCAACAAGACTCTTGCAGAATGTCTGCAGTTAACCGAACAGGTATTCAGTCCCTTGCCTACCAAGTTCTAATCATATAGGTCCCTACAACATGCAAGTCCTATGGCTGTGCTGGACCTGTGAATCAGATGGAGGGGACTAATTGCTCTCCAAGTTAAGCAATAGAGTAGTTTTTTGCTGACACCTGAAGAAAGTAGTTCTTGCTTAAGCTTCACTAACTTACTGAACTACCCAATAAGATTAGGCAATACCACAGTAATAATAGTAACATAATAAAGTAGAAAAGCTATAATGTAATGAGAGTAGCTATGAAGTAATTAATCTAAAACAAGTTTGCATTTGCAGAAACTTGCCTGGACTTCTGAAAAAGTCTGTTTTAAGTAGTTCTGAAGATGTCTATGCATTCTACTATCCCTTCTTCTTACAATACTGTATAAATAATTCTCATTTGGAAGAATAGGTGAATGACAGTTCTTCTGCTGAAGTTCATAGTTCAGTCTTGGAAATACTTGCCATCTTCAACTTTTGGGGTTACTCTCCAAAGAAAGAAAAAATACTTGCTTTCTAGTTCAAATCCAGCTAAAATACAGCACCTCAAAATGTTCACTGCACTTAAATCTCTGCTCCTGTGTTGACTTCAGGGATGTCAAGGCGATGAAGTACGTGCCATGTTGGAAGATCTGACACACAGCATTCCTGGGGCTAAAAAGCTTGCAAAATATTGGATCTGTTGTATGCGTCTTGAACAGATGGGCCCTCTTGAGAAGCTTATTGCTGTCTATGAGGAGGCCATTTTGGCAGGAGCAATGGTAAGCAGCTTGTCTGGAAGTTTGAGATTTAACAAATATGAAGGCATGAAAGTATGGTCTATATAAAATACAACTACTTCTGACTTTAATAAATCCTTTTATAGTAGGAGGAGAACCATGTGACCTACTTGAAAATAAAATATTTGTTTGCTCTGTAACAGCTGTAGAAACTACTTCCAAGAAGAAAGGTTTAGGATCATCAAAATACCATATGATGTTCTGCCTAGAAGAAAGTAAGGACTGAGGCTTCTAGTAACACTAGAAACCCAGAACAGAACTTAAGTTTACATTCATTGATGGACTTAATTCCTGTGCTTTAATATCAGCAAGGTTTCAGGGCATCAAATACAGCCTTAGTGCACCAAATCCAGAAAATGCAGGATTCACTTGTGTTCTGACTTATGTCTGAACAGCATTAAATAAAGGGTTTATAACATGAATATCATGTGGTCTGTACCACTTTCCCTGGAACCGTTACACCAAATAAGCTGAAATGATGATTCATTTCGGAATTGTTTTTCTAAAACAACATAACTTTTTTCCAGCCTAAAGATGAACTACGACACACGCTAATAGATACTATGAAAAATACTGAAAGCCTTTTTAAGTCTGAGGATGGTAAGTCCAAGTACTCTATTCTAGTTAAATGTCTGGCTTGACAGGCAATACAAGATAACTGTTTAAACTATTTGGGCCTATATTAAATTCTGTTTCATGGAAACTTCTCTGTGATCGTTTTGTACTCAATTGTCTTTGAAAACAACCTTGACTAAACTAATCTGTTTCAATTGTGGGCATGTTAAAATGAGTAGTGGTGATACTTTCATATTCAAACTTTCTGCTTAAACTCTATCAAAGCAATGTTGTCCAGCTATTTTAGCCTGATAATCAAAGAGTAAATAAAAACATTCTTGTGAGCTAAAAATCAGTTGCCTCTGACACAAACTCCTGCACTAGCAGATGCATGGTTGTGTTATGGCATAGTGTCAGTTAAAGGTGCTAAACGCTCAAATTTTGGAAGCAAAGTAGCCATATATGTTCCTGTTCAGTATAACATAACCTGACAAGTATTTGATCCCAGAAACTGACTGAAATACTTGTGCAGACCTTCTGTGCTTGGGAAGGAAGAGAATGACTTCTCAGGATGTACTTAGCCTGAGTGTTCATGTTGCAGGTTCTTGAACATGACTAAGATCATTAGCAACTTAAATTGCTGTGGCTCAGACCCAACACATACTTAACTTTCATTCTCATGTAAAGCTTTCAAGATTTCAGAGATCTTTCTAAAACATTAACTTCTCTTTAGTTGTAACTAATCACACCTGTACTTTCTTCAATATTTCAATTTTAGGGGAAACTGTGATAGAAGGTCATTTAAGTGAGGTAGCGGAAGTCAGCAAGGAACCAAATTCCTCTGTAGAGCAGGTTCAGGAGGCCTTCAAGGATCTTGGCTCTGATGATGACAACCAAAAAGCAGATAGTGATGACAAGAAGGTGGAGACTAGCAGCGAAGTGATCAAAAAAGAAGAAATGGATTTAGACTTGAAACCGAGACAAGAGATCTTGCCAAAAAAGAATAAAAAGCACAAGACTAAAGAACGTGCAAAAAAGAAAGGAAAATGTGAAACAGAAGAGCAGAATCAGGATGGGGTAGAAGATATAGCCATATCCTTCTCTCCTGAGAAGGAGAATGACACATCTTATTTAATGAGATATAATCCATCTGCCACGCCGTACTTCGAAAGGTAAGATTACTTTGGGTAACTACGGAAAGTTTGCAGTGTCTGGGGCAACAGTAATGTTTGTATCCTGTTGAAACAGGGAGGCAAGGCACTATGTTTGTGAACACCTAGTTAAGAGCTCTCAAGAACTTAGCTTTTTAGGATTGTTTCCTCTTCCTTCAGAAGGAAGTCTTTTTAAATAAATTCCTCTATCTACTCAAACTGTTTTGCTTTTTGAATGCCTCACTACAGAGTAATCAAACCTCTTTGTGGCAGAGACATAAATTCCAGGTTTAGGATCTCTTCCCACAGCCCACATGGCAGTAGCAGTTCTACACTGAGCTAGGTAAAGAGAAAACAGATGTCTCCAGTCCTCCCCTTTTCAAATGTAGATGTGGTTGTATGTTGTACAACACAGAAGTGAACAAGATGTAACTGTCCTGTAAATATTATCTTAATTATATCTTGAGGCAAAAATCTGGGTAGTAATCTCAGGACGAAACAGATGACATTTACATTCTTCTTTGCCACGAGGCTTCTTCTAAGATAGGAGACTTAGGAAAGTTGTGCTCAGCTTTGGCATCTGATGAAGCTGGACTCCTGGCAGCTGCCTGCTATCTCTCATAGCAGGAAGGACAGTTTCACTCTGATGGAATGGGAGGGGGAATCTTCCTTTGGAAACTCTTTTCAGGAGGTTCTGTAGATTAAAATATTTTGCCCAAGAAAAGAGTTTGTACATCTGGTTTTCACTGTATGAATGGGAAAGAGTTGAATAGGAATCATGACTTGCTGTTTCTGCTAGATGCTACAGAGGTAATTTGTTTGATGGTGTGCTACGTTTAGTTGGGGGGTTTTTTTGTTGTTTTTTTTTTCTTTTCCTAAGTGTGAAGATGCACCATGAGGCAAATGACTCCAGTGCTAAAGACCTGAAAATTGTAACCCCTTTGCGATATTCTCAACGCATTCGGGAGAAGATGTGCAAGCTGTTGGATACTGTTAAAGATCAAGATCCATGTGTCTCTTCATTTGAACAGCTGGGAGAATGGGAATCACAAGCCACTGAATTTATCCACAAACAGAGCATTGTGCTCAAAGAAACAAGTGCTGAAGTGGAAGAGTAAAAAATAGCATTAATGCTACAGGGGGGTTAAAGATTGGATCCTTTTTAAGGGTAGTTGGGGAGTGTTTGTTTTTAGTAGCTGTGAGAAAGGAGCTATCTAAAACTTGCATGGATGGCTTAAGATGAAATTTCACTGCCTGAGTTAACTTCTGAATTTATGTATCTGCCTTTTAAAAATTGTGGTAAAACTGATCTGTTTTAGTACTTACAAACATCAGTGTCTTCATGTTAAATGTGATTCATTAAATTGAATTAAGGACTAGGTTTAACACTTCATATAACAGTTTGCTTTTAATATATTGCTAATATCTACCATTTTCCTGTTGCAATTAGAATTGCATAATCTAACTTTTAGTTTAAGAAACAAAAATAATGTAGGCATTCTAATAGGGTAGTGTCCACTACAGCACATTCTGTTTTGAAAACTGAAACCAGCTGCTAAGGCTTACACTAAGTTTAAACTGTTGTATCCATTTTTAGGGAGTATTTCAACAAAACTGACTTTAATCCCTTTAGTTACTGGGATTATTCACTATCAAGTACTCTCCCCTAGATGAGGTCTGATACACTAATTACTATGTGACTTCTAATGTTGGTTTGCATTAGTCTGTAATATGGTAGATTTATTAAACTAATCAAATGAGTTGTATTTGTTTGTTCTTTATGGGCTTTAGGCAGGAAACTCTTGGCTGTAAGCCTGAAACTAGAATTCTGAAAATTATTTTAAGCTGTTTTCGGAAGTGAACTGTCAAGAGCAGAACATCATGAAATTTTTCCACATTCAGCAGAAGCAGAACATGTGAGTGTTGCCATATCTTCAGTACGTGGAGTTTACATGAACTGTAACTTAAACCTTAGCAGAGCATTCCGATTTCAGCGCTTAAACAGCCCTCAGGTCCTTAGGGCTAGCTAGAATCTTCTGTTTGCGGAAGGGACGCGCTCTCTGCATCTCCATTACGTTTCCGTCTGTGGGGAGTGCTGTTTATTGTTAATAAATACCAGGTATGAGCCCTATTGGCTTGTTCTGAGGGACAAAAGCGGGAGAGCCTCCATGGAAGGCCGGGCTGTCATGGCTGTCCCCTCCC